GGCGATATTTAACCCCTTGTGCTCCATGATTCTCCCCGGCCACCCCCAGACTGCCCTCGGTGACCACACATTGCCCAATGTTTGTTTTCCTGGAGAACATCGATATCTACAGATCCCCCGGGACATCAATGTCTGGAGGAGGCGGCGTCACCCGCTCTGTAATGGGTTAAAGACCGCCGGCACACGTTACAATCTGATGTAGTGCCGGCGGTTGGGCTGGTTGGGTGGGGAGAGGTTGAGTAGTTCAGGTCGGTCCTCATAATTCAGGTTTGGGAGATTGTAACGTGTGTGGTCTTCCTTAGAGGTGTGTCATCCAAGCAATGCTTTACCATTGGACGGTACTCTACATCTTCATGGGGGGAGCCGGAATCTGGGCAGATCTAGTCCATCCAATCAGAGAACGTTCTGGAGCATCGCTGACTGCAGAGGCCTAGAGGTGGACCATTGGCCTACCGACTACCAGCGGTGACACCATCCTTCCAACTGGTCTGACTGCCGGGGGTGACGCTGGTGTACGGACCGCCGGGGGTGACGCTGGTGTACGGAATGCCGGGGGTGACGCTGGTGTACGGACCGCCGGGGGTGACGCTGGTGTACGGACCGCCGGGGGTGACGCTGGTGTACGGACCGCCGGGGGTGACGCTGGTGTACGGACCGCCGGAGGACCGCGGGGGGTGACGCTGGTGTACGGACTGCCGGGGGTGACTCTGGTGTACGGACCGCGGGGGTGACGCTGGTGTACGGACCGCCGGGGGTGACACTGGTCTGGGTACATCTCACATTGTCGGTGGTGACCCTGTCGGTGTCTGAACCCAGAGAAGTCACCATCTTGGGGTGCCGGGGTTCCTCTTCTCACCTTCATGTCGTGTTTTCAGCCTATCACAGAAGGAAGACGAGATGGTGGCGCTCGGTGGTCGGGTTTCCGCTCTGCAGACGAAGAATCAGAATTTACAATCCGCCGTCACCGCCCTGAGACTGGAGGCCGAGGAGAGCCGGAGGGAGGCCGAGAGGTATGACTGCTGTATATAGATGATTGAGAGGATATAAAGTGTGGGCGTTTCCTGACCGCACTCCTCCCGGCCAATCAGGAGCTTGCTTTTATGCTGTGACTTGAATCCGGCAGATGAATGGTTGATGGTAAATTGAATAAGATTCGCGGCCCTGCAGATCGGTTTTTATTTTGTGTGTCCCCCCCCCCCATCATATATATGTGTTGCACTGCGATGCGTCACGCGGCGCACTTCTGCCCCCCATTAAAGTTTGTCTCAGGCACCTCTGACCACATCAGCACCTCTGTCTTCGGGGAAAGTTCTCCGAGTTGAGGTGAAAGTGCGTCCAGAGTTCACACGGAGGCCGGAGGGAGCGCCGCTAATCCCGCCTCGGCGCGCGGCGTCCCCGGAGACCTATTTGTGAGGGATTTCGAGGTGTTTAACAATTACCGGAAGATTACGGCGCCCTCAGATCTGCTCTTGTGTGTAAAGTGTAACCGGAGAGGAATGTGAGCAGCAGATCAGGGCGGCTATTGATAGGGAAGTGCAAATCTCAAATCGTTTCCACATTATTCTCCGTCACCGACCTGCGGAGAATGAGCAGAGCCCGAGGTGACAAAGAGGACGACGCCACGGTATAGGAATGCTTCACCCCAGGTACTCGTGTGACCCGAATGACCATCGACATCCAGAAACATGGAGGAATCATACGGGAAGCGCCCCTCCCCCGGATCTCACTCATGAAAATACTTTTCTTACAAGTTGTTATTAATAAATCTATAATATGATACATTGTAACCCCCGGACTGCAACATCGGGAGGTTTCAGCCCCAATTCCTGCCGCCAATCCTCTCATTTTCACTCATAAACGCACGGCAGGTTCCGCCCTCTCATATAAACGCACGGTAGGTTCCGCCCTCTCATATAAACGCACGGCAGGTTCCGCCCCCTCATATAAACGCACGGCAAGTGCCGCCCTCTCATATAAACGCACGGCAGGTTCCGCCCTCTCATAAACACACGGCAGGTTCCGCCCCCTCATATAAACGCACGGCAGGTTCCGCCCTCTCATATAAACGCACGGCAGGTTCCGCCTTCTCATATAAACACACGGCAGGTTCCGCCCTCTCATATAAACGCACGGCAGGTTCCGCCCCCTCATATAAACGCACGGCAGGTTCCGCCCTCTCATATAAACGCACGGCAAGTGTTGCCCTCATATAAACGCACGGCAGGTTCCGCCCTCTCATATAAACACACATCAGGTGCCAGCCTAAAATGTACACATGTGTAACACAACGTAAACGCACAGCAGGTTCTGAAAACTATGTCGGAGTCTCTGTTGTGATTCTGAGGATGGATTACTTCACAGTGTCTGCAGCTACAGAGATCAGTGGTGGGTTGTGTCCAAAGCTCATTTACTGATTGTTAGGTACATCTAAAACCTAAACTTCTTAGTTTTGCATGAAGTAGGGAGAGATCATAATGGGACATGGTCGGTATTGGTGATGGGACATGGTCGGTATTGGTGATGGATGGGGGAGGGGAGGAACCTTGTTCAGTAGAGATACTCGGTAGTCATGTTTGGTATAGATGATGGTTATATGTGGCCATGTGTCCCGTGTCTGCAGGTTGGAATCGGTGATTCGGTCTCTGGACACACAGCTTGAGGTGGAGAGACAGACGCACGGAAAGTCCTTGTCTGACCTTCAATGTCAGCTGAACACGTGTCATGCCCACGTACGGGAGATGGAGGAACGCACCGCGTCATACGAGGCTTTGCAGCGAGGTGAGTGTGTCTGCTGGTTGGTGGTGTTGCCTCATGTATGTCCTTCACCCTCATGCTGATCCTACACATTGTCCTTCTTCCCAATGTTCTGTGTTTCAGTGTTCCAGTCTCCGGTGACTCGGATGAAGCAGAACATCTTATCGGCACCAGGGAAGGTTCCTGCGGACCGCACGGCGATGTCCTCGGTTAGTGGGATCTCTGTGGTCTGCACATTATCACTACCCCTGATATATATGATACATGTAGCTCTCTTCTCGGGGATCGTCCCCCCCCCCCCCCCCCCCCCCCCCCCCCACCCCCTCTCCTTTCCCCTTGCCACACACTCCACC